GTTTGTGTTTTTTAACAGTTAATAAGTCACTAATAAAGTTATTAAGTACTTAATAACTTGGTCATTTATCAAAATAATTTCTACGCCCATCACTAGGTACTTGTATAAAATATCTATTTTGTCCAAATTAGATTTTTCAAGAATGACTTTATAATGATTCTACTATACATGCAGCCTAAAGTATTTTGACTTATTTTTTTATAGTGTACTTTTTGATTTTTGACATCAACAAAGCATTTTGAGCTGCAATATATATAGTCTCTACTTTTGAAATTTGTAGTATATAGTAATATTTTTGGAATACTTGATTCTTCCTATAATTGTGATACATATAATAATATTTATTAATAATCATATTAGTATATGATACTGTTGTATGTGAAATTGAAATCGAAATTTATAATTAAAATTTTGGGGTGGGTGTTTGGATATGAAATTCTGATTGGCTAATTTGAATTTCACAGATTTCATTTTCACAAACATTTACTTTAATAAAATGCGTCTCAAGGTTTTTCCACTCCTTTTTTTGTAAAAAGTGCTCTTAATTGATTAAATTATTATATTCAGGTAGAAATATTATATATAGCATAATGAGCGGAAAATATCACATCATTGGTAATACAATTGTGTTAAACAATATTGATCCTGAAATTTGTGGTAATATCAATGTTCACTTTGTCTAGTTTTGTTGCAGCATGCCCCAAATGTGTGGTGTCCTTCTTCGATTATTGTTATTGTAAAAATTTCGAAAGATAGCACCACCTTTTTATGGTAAATAGATTGTTTGTTTATAACCTTTTTTTTTGTCACGGCTTTATAATTTGCCAAAAAAAGGATTTATTGTTTTACGAAATTGATCGCGTTGTATAAACAAGTAGAAAAACCATGTGATGGTTGATCACATGAAACTGCTTTATGTAACACTGTCCTGTATTTTTATCAGTCATTCCAAAAAAAATTTCATCCCTCTTCATATATATATTTGTAATAAATTATTAATAATGTCTGTAATTTCAAAAAATACAGAGACTCCAAAAAACGAATTTTGTGTTGGTGAAGAAACTATAATTTTGAATGTTGGTGGTATCAAGGTAGTATTATAACTTTCACACAAAAAAAAACAAGAGTTAGAAATACACGTATTTAAAAAATAAAATAAATCATTAGTAATGTGATAATTTACTGT